CATGAAGTTAAGAAGAATACTTCAAACAAGAAGTGCTTTGGATGAATCTAATAAGTCATTAATAAAAGACTATAAATAAAGAGAGTCTCTCTAAGAAAGAGAACCGGCTCACCTTCAATTACTTTAACCAAATTTCCACATCCTTTTCTGTTATGAAAGTCCAGCTAGATTGGTTATGTAAACCAAATCTTAGTTCCACTTCTTCTCCTTAATAGTCTCTTGAACTATAGTCCATACTTTTCTTTACTCCAAGTAAATTTATTAGTCCCATTGTATTCTTCTACTTTCCGGCTGATAGCTTAGATTATAAAATGTTATCAATTTAAATCAAGAACCTTTCTACGTACCTAAAAGCTACATAGATCTCTTTGGTCATTACTCAGTTCTTGAAACCCAACATTGGCAAGATCCCTGTTAGTCTTTGGACGCAGGCTACTCTAGATTTCATATCTCAGAGATTAAGACCAAGCTCAAAGGCTGACCACCTTACATCTGTTAACTTACAGTGGGCCTTGGATTCCTGTTTCTTGGATACATTTTAAAAGAGCTTGTGATGTGAATACACACCCATTACCATTGTCTTCCTCAGTTTAAGATGAAATGTCATAGTTAAGATCCCACATAACCAGAAGGAGCTCTTGTCAGGACCAAGAGTTGAGTAAAGACTAGACTACTCAACTCTCTAGATAGTAGCCACCCTGACAACAACTACTGTAGCTATTGCCATGGCCTACTTCTTGAGTTGCAGGACAGAACTAGTCAGTTTCTAGGCTGAGGAAATTTCTTGAAAGATATAAATATCAATGAGATGCCTGGGTTTAGAACCGCAGGCAACTTCTCAATGTTGGGTTGCAAGCACAGTGGTACGTGACCAAGTAGAGTTTTGACTGTCTCTGAACAGGGACAATGAAAAGGGAGGGGAGATTGAAGATTACAAGTAACGCAATACTCAAGGATGCTGCCGGGCAGCACCGGGCAGGCCCTGGCTCGGACCATCCCCTTGAAAGCGTGTTTGAGAGCTCGGGAAGGATGCTTGATGACGTCAATTTTTCCAAAAGATTGCCTCCATAAAGATTTTTTGCGACGGCCCCGGCCCCGAGTAGCCCTGTACCGGTGCCTTTTTTTCTATTCCCAGGCTGGACTTGAGGCCCCGGGCTCGGCCTCGACCTCACCTAGAAAACGCTCGGGCACACTCGGCCGGTCAGGGCCAGGGCCGGGTCATAGCCCTAGACCAAGTAGAGTTTTGACTGTCTCTGAACAGGGACAATGAAAAGGGAGGGGAGATTGAAGATTACAAGTATCACCTTAAGCTAGAAGTAAGACTCTTAAACCTGATTCTGCTTGAATAACTGATAGTAACTTGGGACAAGCGGAACTAGTTGATCATGGAGGACCAAATAGCTGGACTGTGAGGTGAAGGTACTAGTGAGAGTGTTATTTGTGGGAAGGTTCCCACTCTTCAGGTATGAAAGTGCCCTCTTCTTTTATATCTAGTCTGTTCCTTTGGCTGACTTGTGGTTCTCTTTGGAGGTCCTTATACTTCCCTGTTGGTAAGCTTATCTCGGCTGACTTGTGGTTTTGACCGGATTGGGAACTCTATTTGTTCCCTTGTGGTAGTTCCCAATTGGAAGCTAATGCTGTGTTTGTTTTGGGGTTTCTCTTAGTGCTTAGGTTTGAAACATTTCACACAACCATACCTCATAATCCATTCCTTTGCAATGAATTTAGCTACAGCTGCTGATGTTAACTTCTGTAAAGGAGCTGCTTCAACCCACCCAGATAAATCATCTCTTGCAATAATTGCATACTCATAACCACCCGCCTTTGTATGGACAGCATCCAAACTTACTCTTCCAAATATTGTACTTTCCACAGTAGCCCTTCCAACTTCTTTCTGCTTCCTTCCACTTTTCTTTTGACAAATTTCACATGTATTACCCATCTTCTTACAGATTCTTTCATTTCAGGCCACCAGAATCTAATTGAACACCTCTTGTAGGTTTCCTCAACTCCTCTATGTCCAAGTTCTCCATGTAATTTTTTTGGTATAAAATTTTGACCAAGTAATTTTGAAATCACCAACCTTCCTTGAGGAATCCCTCTTGTCTTTAACCTGTCTCTTTGAAGTTGGTACGAGTATTGACTAAGGGGAATGGGGCAAAGAGGCGGACCGGTTCTGAGAAGCACACGGGTCACAACCTTAGAGTCCATTCCTCTCCAGCGGGGATACTTCTATCCTCACGTGCTGGAAAGGATGGACAATAAGATGCAAAAAACAAACACAAAAAATATTCCTTATATTCCCATCTCTGTGGCAAGGGTGTTTGTCCCACATTGGATTCTTTCATCACCAAATTAAGAAGTCCCTTTTTCCGCGTCTTGTCTCAGTTTCTCTGATTGGTCCGGTCTCTTTTTTCATTACGAAATCTTTTTATTTCTCTGTTGCATTTCGTTAACCTCCCGCCCACCCAAGCTATGTTGTTGGTTACTATTAACATTTGACAGAGTCAGTTCCTCATTTGGCGTGTACATCTCAACACTCATCTACAAATTGTTCCGTTTGACTTCACCAAAATTGTTCCGCCCGCAGAACTCCTGTCTCTTTTTTGTCCTACGGCATTGTCAGGTCTCAGGACCAGTTTCCTTTTTTCTATCAGTCTCTTTCTAGCGTCTCTTTTTCTCATTGCACGCTAATAAAGATTATTTCCCTTCTTGGCAGTCAAGCGTAAAAACCAGCTGATGACCAGCCCAGAAGCCTAGCCCCATTCCTTCAACATAAAATCAAGGCGCCTTACTCAAGGCAGGGCCAGGATGAGCAGCGGAGTGTATTTGGTTGTCCACTTGTGTAGTGTGATGGGATCCTGCATAGGGACTCAGAGGGTGTCACAGGCGTGGGAGGTGTGATTGATAACTGAGGAAGTCAGGTAGGTAATTCCAACAGTAACATCACCATGTCTGTATTCATGTGACACGTCAACGTGCACACACAAAAGAGTTTTGATAGAAACTTGCAAGAGCCTCAAAAGTGGTCTTGAGGCTTTGCCTTTATTAAGTGGGTTCTTGAAACTCAGGCAATTGAGTTCCAACAAAGGGTGTGTGCATAAAGGTGATCCACCAGTCTGAACTTGAGAAAAGTTCTTCCAGATTCTTTTGGAAACTCTCCATGTGTGCACTTTGATGTCCTACAGGGATACAGGCATGGTGCATGATCCTGATTCTTTGAATATGTAGAGATGCAAGGCAATGGCATAAGTGAGTGTGTAAGATTTTTTTCATGATTACATAAAATACTTCATTATTATAGAGGAATCAAGTATAGTCCCCTATGTACAAGGGTCTATCTTCTCAGCTTCTGCCTTGGCCTGCAACTATGGCTGAGGTAGCAGTTTTCTTGGGGGAGCCCGGGCAAGGGATCAGCTTGCTTTTGTGTCACGGTATAATCATTGCTGATATCAGGCCAATCCTTCTCCCAGCTGGGTGGGTGGGTGGTCAAAACTTATTAGTTTCTTTCTCTCAGAATACATTGTTTGTTGAATAGAGTTTTGGCTCAGTGATCAGGAGTTAGGTCTGAGGAATATGGAGTATTCCAAATTCAGCCTCTCACAATAAAACTCTGACTCAAGTTATGGGATTATACCTACTCAGTTGAAACCCATTCATGGAACTATGTCCTAAGTTGTCCCTTGGTTAGGACTTACAAAGAAATACATATAAAGCAGCTGATAAATGTGAGCAAGGTTTGAATGGAGGGTTTGCTCTCCTGCTGTGATTTGAAATACTTGGCTGCCTGGTTGAGGCCAGTACTATTTCAAGTTTGGATTTCTTTTACATATTTTTAATTTGGGACACCTAAAAAGTTGTCCTGCTTTAAAAAAATTACGCATGTTTTACAACAACGGGCAAGTTGTTGCAGCATAAACATCTGTAAAAACCTTCGACTTGAAACCTCCTAGTGTCACGCTTTCAACTCAGCAGTTAATATTCTTAACGGGTCAACTCTTTCTGTTTTGGACGCTTATGTGCTATATAAGCTTGACTAGGCCCTGTCTGCGCAGCCGCGTCCACGCCCTCAGTATACACATTGGAATTCTCCCGAATCCAGACTTGAATCCTCGGTCTCAAAGACCTTGAGGGAAAACAGGAGTTGGATATATGATCATATTTTTGACTTTGGTTGCATTCAGTGCATTGCTTCCACTACCTAAATGTGCAACATAAGCTCTGGCGAGGCGCTCAATTTGCAGCAATTTGCAAACTCCTACAAGAATCAACCTCGTACTAGGTCGTACTCGCATGTTTTCCAAAGTCGTCACTTGCGATATCAAGAAGTGGGCGGCCGGTATGTAGAAGATGCTCTTCAGTCTGATCGATCTCCTTGGAACACTGATCAGAGCCCAGAATCCTTACACTGCTCACTATCTCGACCGGTATAATTGAGCCGCCTAGGAATACAAACGTCATCCCCCGAGTTCACTATGTGATATGGTATATACGGGTGGGGTGACGAAACAAGACCTGATGGACAAAGACTCACTGGATGCATCTTCTCACATTCTGTCTCGTGCTTTGCCAAGTACCCGACATATGTGTACGGTCGTTTGCAGTATCTGCACTCCAATTTCAACGGTCCTACCACCGACCGTTGTTCAAGATCGGCAATCAGTTCAATGTCATGGAATTTCATTGGAATGACTGAAACATTCTCGGCATGATGCCGAAATGAATATGAAGATCCTACACACCCATTCGATGTGTACAGGTCAACTTGTGCCTTTCAAAACTTGATTCGCTCTTGCACCTACGATTGCCTACGCTCGCGAGGTGCCGTGCGTGAATACGTAACACAACTCATCAGTACGTCTTTCGTGCATCACTGCGACGAATGCACAAACAATCAGGGCACCTGTGTCAAAGATATGAGATACAAACTTCTACCATCAGAATGCAATACGACACTTTATCACACAAGTCATGGTTTTCATAGTGTGGAAGCCGAGCAATTACCTAAATTCTTCTTCGCCATATCGATTGACCAGCCTGATCGGGTGTATATCGGCCGCACCAGCTGATGTCCCCTGGGACGTCGTCGCTTGATTATCTTCTTCATCGTGTGAATGTATGTCTGAATATTGCAATCGACTCATGTTGGGTGCTGGAGCATCACTAGAGCCGTGCACTTCATCGCGTCGCCTTTCTTGTTCACGCGAGCCTTGTGCAAGATTCCTTCGTTCCCCGATATCTCTACTGTCCCAGCTCGACCTATCCGGGGGCTGGAACTGGGAACTGTTCTAGGGTAATCAAACGCCAAAATCAGATTATCAAGTCTTCAAAAGATTTGAGGCATAATCTCAAACCTGGAAGCTGGAACGAAAAGCCGATCTACTACTCTCTACCGTGGATTCATATCTATCTGACCAAGTTCCTGACCGGCTATCGTTGTCCGGTTGAGATAAGAATTTACTCAAGAGTGAGCGTGAGGACATCTCATTTGATGTGAGTGGATCGAGTTTGTTATAGGAAGGACAAGTCGGACCGAAATAGTCGCGGGCTCGATTAACTTGGCTTGGAGAATGTGGCCCAGGACGTAGGATTTGCCTAGTGAGTGATCCTACCAAGTTGGTCGGGGGAGGAAGACGATTTCTCACTATCAAGATAAGGGATAAGTATGTCATCAGATGTGAGTAACATAGCAAGAGTTGCCAGAAGGTTCAAACGAAGAAGACTCCGAGACAACAAGAAGAAAGGTACATGTAAGCACGCCAACTGGACATGGATATTTGCTCCTGGTCACTGGGATATCAGATCAGGTGAAGATAAGAGAAATATAATTACATTCCACTTTCTTTTGGTGAAAGTCACTTTATAAGTCTGAACATACATCGCACGGTCCACTCACCTATTCCATCACCTTCACCATCTCCTGGAATTGATGATCGACTCCTTCTCCATTCCTGGAGGGGGTTCTCATCGTAACTACGTTTCAACATCGAGAGAATTGTTAGCGCCCGCGATCTATCAGCTGATCATTGAGACATGGATTTGAAGGAGGCAGAGTCTGGGTGTTGTGGCTCAAGTATAATCGCTTTTGCCACCCAAAGAGTACAATAAGATGACTTGAAATTGGTCCCTAAAGTTGATGAAATATCTTGTGCAACCGATCACGCTTCACGGTGGGCGACGATCACGTTTTTCGAGGGGTTAAGTCATTTTTTCAGAGCAGATTCAACCCACCGTGAGGACATTCTCCTTGCACCTGAAAACGAGATTGAGCCCAGAACACCGAAGTTAAACCGCGTGCTTACTGACACCAATGCTCTGCGGTGAGACGGATATCATTTAAAGTCCAGTTGTATTCCAGTTATATAAAGATGAAGTCTCGAAGAACGTGCGCACGCACGTACATCTCTTGTGACCTCCAAACCATAAGATGCCGGTAGGAGACAGTCTGGATGCCGACGAGAAGTCTTGTGTAGGAGAATAAGTTTCGATTCGAAAACACCCGAAAGGACAATTCAACCTAGAAAGAATCGATCTAGCGCCGAGACACTGAATGATCCCGATATGAGACGGTTGCATCCAAACGTAGAGCTCAACTCTCACTATGACGACATGCCTGGTCAGATTCTCGTCCGGCGCCTGGAACAAGTGGAGATTGAAAATAAGTTGTGCTGCAAAGGAGGGACCTGTCGATCGTTACTGTTCTGTCGAGAAAGTGTGTGATGTGTCTATCGATGTGTCTATCAGTTATTTTTTTGGGGGGGTGCGGCGTTGCAGTAGATGAGACCAACAAACATATTCTGTCGATAGGTGCGGAGGCGTCACGGATCTGCGGGTAGAAAAGGGTTATTGGAGTGATGGATGAAGTGTTGTATTCAGCCCTATTCAGCCGAACTCAGCGTAGAGGCCCTTGTGGAGAAAAGTTAACACTGCCTTGCAAGACTAACCTAACAAAGTCCCTTGCGAGAGCACAATCTACCGACATCTTTGGCGTTGATTTACTGCGCATGGTTCGAAGATAGGTCTATACATACATCTCAAGTGATCCGCTTCGGGCATGTCTGTGAATTTACCCGCTGACATACTGATAAGTATTTTCAATTGATCATTAAGATCGTGTTTATGTGGGCAAAAAGTCCGAAGGCGAGTAATTTGAGATCCATTACATGCTTGGACTTTTGTGATTTTCAATTGGATACTCGAATCCAAAATCGTCAAGGACGTTGATCTACCGAACGCGAAATGACTTCATGAAGGGTTTGGCGAGCCATTTAGGGCGCATGGACAGAGATCATTTGCGTTGCAAGAGGTATGTCCGCCCGAAAGCCTCTCAGATCAGGGCATACTGCACTGTTTGTCACTTGTTCACGGCGAAATGTATATTGGGCCTAGGGGCTAGATAAAGATGCACCTAAATACGAATTGTCCAGGATCCCCTACGGCTAGCGAGACTCAAATCTGTAGACATTTGATTGTATCTTTTGATCAGTCCTGGTACTCACATTCTCTCAAAGACTTCCTCTCTGATGTATGTATCATAGTGCGATTCGGGAATATACTTCATCCGCTGCTTGGCTATTTCAGCGATAGATTCGAGATGTCGATAACTTTAGATGTCACAAGGGTGAATCTGGAACCAAGAATCATCCTCGTACTTAAATGACTGAAATGTGACAGTGGATGCAACTCTGCAACTCGGACTAATTGATTCGTGGGTCCCTTGCACTTTCTCTCCACGCGAGAGTTTCTGTGGGTGCCTTTTGTATTTTCTACTTTCTTGAAATTGGAACTCTTCATCGTCTAAAATCTGTCCTGTAAGGAACGCATTGTGAAATCGATAGCCTTGAACGTTCACTGGCACTGGTATGTGTGTACCGCTATTCACTATGGGAGCCTAGCACCATTGTGTGATCGAGATATTAAGATTGATTTCAAGTGATAGTTTACGGCAATAGCGGGAAAGATGATGGATGCAAGAGGGATCTGATCAGATTGGCTAGTAGCAGGCTTGGTACACAAGCTAAATTTCAGGACATACTGCTCCGGAAGATGACAAATCATCTCATCAACTATAGCTTCGTCGTCATATGATAGCGACTTCTTCCAGAAGCTGAGCCCGTGAGAGGCGCTTCTAGTTGAAGTGTACCCTCCAAAGAGTTGGCTTCCGGATCTTACGTGTAGATCAGGCTCGTTGTTTCTTGGTTTGAGTAAAATCATTTCAGGACCATCAGACCCGCAGAGTTTACGTCCTTCGCCGATGCGTAAAATCCAGTCTTTCATAGTCCAATTTCCTCCTTGATGGCAGCTCTAGCTGAGGCCAAAACGATAGCGACGTCATAATATACTTGTGATGGTATGAACAATATGTTCACATGTGACGAATATTACCAAATGACCACTCGCGACATCTCTGTTAGATGTTTGATGATAGCCTCTTTGAATCGAATGTTCAACACCTCAAAGAATTTTGATCTTTGAATATTTATAGGTTGAAGCCTTCTAAATGTTTCCACGCAATCTTCTTGCGTGAGAAAAGGACAATTATAGACAACTTGAGTCATGGTACCAACAGAGGATTTAATTTATTGTTCTCCGGCCCTCCGACAGTCGGATTCATCTCCCTACCCGGACGGTATCTTGACTTGCTTATAAGTCATCTCTCTTGTAGATGAAATATCCATACATCACTCAGATTCTTGAAAAGCATACGTACCATCACCCATATCTGATGAAGACCGCAATACTGCAACGCTTTACACCGTGTCTGTGTAGGCTTTGCTAGTCGACGAGCGCACACCAACTCCCTTTGAGGCAGAAAGGGAAGTCGTGCGCGCTCGTCGACGAGCGAACACTACCCGGACACGGTGTTAGATGTGGAAGCATTGTTTGGGGGTCCTGATCAGGCTTAGTGGCTGCAGAGATAATGTGATTTTAGATCGCTCACTTGTTCGACTCCTTTGTACCTGGAGCTGCAGGAATTTCCACACAATGAACACTTCTATTCAGAACGCTTGAATGACATTCATCTCGCGAAATAGCAAACCAGGTGTCTGATACATCTCCACACAGTCACAACTCCATCATGAGGCTCTTAAAGATCTTCGATGGCTTTTTCGATATGATTTATGACACCGTTAAGTCCATCAAAGCAACAGATTGCTGGAGGAAATGTGTAATGATGCGTCTCAGCAAGCCGATGAGTCCAAAAGGGTTTATGTATGACTTCCTATCATCTTCAATCATTCGTTGGGTGTCACGTGAGACGCGTGAAAAGCTCTAGCTGATGACAAGGCGGTACATGATGAGAAGAATCGAGTCGGTTGACCACATATGTGACCTGAAGAGAATCGTCACAAGCTTATCTGCGATAAGCAGTTTTCCGTTTAATACGCCACACCACTATCTTTGATAACGATGTTTATCGTAGACTGGTTGTCGTGCTTCTTTAGCTCCGTGTAGGATGAGTGGAGTGGGATTTGAGAAGCATCCAGCAGACCAATTTGATCAAAAGGAAAACGAGTTGATCACGAGACGAGCTTGCCATCCACAACTCTAGTATTCGTAAGACACATAATTATAGAAGACGTGCTTGGCCTTTGATTAATCCAGATGATTATTCAAAGGCCAAATTGAGCCTTGGCTTCCAGATATCTGGGTAAAGACGGCCTCAGAGACCCAAGAATGCAGCTTCATCCCGCGCTATCAGATTAGGTGATCGGATAGGAAATGTGCGGAAATGTTGGATGGATCAGATCAGAAAAAGAAGTTCACTCTTGAGGTTTTGTAGTTGAACGAGACGCAAGTGCCACAGCGCCACGAACTTCGGCTACTCCGATAGGAGCTTCCGAAAGTCTGTCCCCCGAAATCAGCCATAGAGCTTAGAAGGATAGCTTTCAAGGTAGCAGTACAAGGATAATAATGTTGGATAAAGATAAACTATATGTACCCAAAGAGACTGAACATTCAAAATGTGTATCTCATATGCCAGAGAGTTTGGGTGTCACGGCGGTGATTCAGTGCGGTCTGATTCCATAAGCGTCATCTATAGAAGCTGAGATGTACGCTTGAGTTATTCAGATTGTTGCCGGGAGGCGACGCTTGAGCCGCCAGAAGTTGAGGCTGGCCATCCACCGACACAGACCGACACTGAACATCAAAGGACGAAAAGGACTCTTGATATTCAAGTCGTAATTCAATCAACACTTTGAGCTTATTTGAACCTAGCACGTCCATCAGCCAATTCAATGCGTATGATTATATAATGAGCAATATGGTTGAAGGCCATTAAAGTTCAGCATGTCGATCGTATTATCCTAAAGAATCACTTGAATCTCAATCACCTAACTCACGCACACACTTTTTCACTGGGAACATACATTCTCTTGATTTGAAATATCTAACTGAACAAAATTTATCATCATGGCTAGATAGGAAAGAAACGCGATGGGGACAGAAGAGCAAAAGAAAAAGATCTGTCGCAATCTTGGTACATATTGCAAGTCGCGAAACGAAATTTTTGTCCCACTGTCACAATTGAATCAAGCAAATTTATTTCTATCTATACAGAGTTCCACAGCCGCACAATAGCCACCCTCATGATCACCTGAATCACATTCACATTCAGCTTCGTGTTCAGCTTGACACAAGTCAAGACAAGTTGTTTGATTTCCGTTGTTTAAGTGTTTAAGCACGTCTTGTTTTATTGAAGGGTGAGACTGAGCTCGCACGAAGTCGGACTTAAAGATATCTGCTGAGATTTGAACCATGTTCACAAAATATATCTAAACTGTGGGTAATTCAATCAATTATGTACAAAATGGAGAGTATTTCTATTTTTCCCTTTTTGTACACAAAAAGAAAGAAACCCTCTAAAGTGAGCCCGCGAAACACATGGCACTTCGGATACTCCAGCCTCAAACTCGGTTTCATCATGGGTTCACGACACTCTTTCAGATCGCTCACCGTTCGCACAGATCAGGCGACGATTCCAAGGTTATTCATTTTCCTCCTGATTCAGATCACGCAAGCTTCAACAGCAGCATTTGATGTGTGAGGCTCTAAGGACGTTGAACCGGCTCGAACCTCTGAATCTCGCTTCAAAACTTACACGTAAACATACCCTAACTCCAACGTGCGTGGCCCATACCGTCTCCGTACCTTTTTCATCCAGTCCCGCTTTGCTACCTTACATCGAAATCAGGTTTCTGACTATCATCTTATCCACATCCTTTTCAATACATTCGAAGTCTCAAACTGGCGGTTCTTCTTTCGATGGCTCCCAGAGCTCACTTCGAACCTCTAATCACTAAGCTCTCCTCGAACAGGACTCAATTCTTGAAGGTCTTTTTAGATTTTTACGCGTTTGGATGATAACCTCAGCGCCTCTACGGATTTGAGGCATTTGGATGACAGCGGGGCGGTTTTGTTCAACGGTACAGCTCTTCAACTTCATTGGCGACGTTTCAACGGTCGGAATGACTATCGAAACATGTGACTTCGAGACAAGACTAAGAGTACGGAACACTTTGATAGGATCTATGAATTAGCATTCAAGACAGCATGTCTGATGAGTCGAATTCATGCAAAGAGAAAGGATCACGACAAACACAGATGCCATTCAATGAACTTTGCTATTCCGGGACAGCTGCAAAATCGCTGCGTTAATACCTGTAGAGCATATGGAGCGTGCTTTCTGGCACGTTGTGATTTTGTCTTCCATAGTCTACTTTTCAGTGTAAGTTGATAAGGTTAATAATCGAACGCACATGTTGTATGTAGCACTAGAATAGATTAGAACGTGGTTAAGTTGATACGAAAGATCCCCGACGGCGTTCCTAGCCCTTCTCTATTGTGCGCACAGCCCTAGATACGAACATTCCTCCGGAACAATACTGGCCTGGACTCCTCTTACGTGTTTGGATGGTGTTTGCGTTTTGAGCATAGAAAGGGAGCTGAAACCTTGCATCCTTACTTATGACTTCCTCGATGCGATCTATGGACTGGATTAAGGATGCCTATATTTGCGTTGCTTTGACCTCATAATGATCCAATCGTCGGAACTCCAGTCTTACCCTCGAGACTAGATCGTGAGGCTTCGTATTTGATAATACTCAATCTACTTGAAGCCGGATAGTTTTTTGGCATGAACGGCCGAGCCCCAGTGTCTTCACAAATCCTCGGTCGTCTGTAGTCGGTCTCATCAGGGGGTATGACCCATAAGTCTGCATAAGTACGTTCGGGTTTTTCAGCTCAGGTCAGCTCACTCACCGAACTTAATACGAACAACCTGGACACGACTCATTAGGAACTTCGAGAGTGCATGTTGCGTTATCTTAAGAAAATGATTCTCACTGACCCTATTTAACCTCAGGAAGCGTAGTAATTAGGGAAAGGGGATCGCGTCCGGATTCGACGTAGAACCCAATTTCTATGTACGAGGATTGAATAGCGGAACTCCTGCTACCACTAAATCGCCTTAGAACATTCAGGAGAAATGGTAGCGCGGTGAGGTAGAGAGGTTTTGTTGAGGGTTGCGTGCAGCATATTGGCAAGCGCCGTACCATGTGAATGAGATCACTTCGATTTGAGATACTAAACCAGGTTCGCATCTGTACTCAGATAAATAGTAAAGTATCTTCAAGGTATGATTCATGGAAGATTTTCAAGGTATAGATTGCGGAGTATCTTCAAGGTATAGAGTGTAGAGGATTTTCAAGGTATAAAGCGTAGAGCATTTTCATGGTATGGATTGTAGGATATTTTACAGGTATATAGCTTGGTGAGCTCACTGATTGGAGCATGTTTGCTTTGCATTGACCTTTACGAGATCCTTCCGAAAAGCGAGACCATGGGTTTCCGTTTCTCGTCGTCGGATCAACTGAGACGTCGCAGACAAGGCACCGCAATGATTCCAAGAAGATCTCATCGGTAGGACGATTGACAAAGTCTTCCCCAAGGACATGGAATCATGTTATCGAAATAGGATACAACCTGATGCATCAAAACAGCTTATAACATGGATGGTAAGAAGCTGCGACGCCAAATTGCATTGGGTATAACTGTCGAACGGACATGGTCGATAACCTTTATAATGTAGATCTCAGTTGAGCGAACGGCGAGTCTACCGAGGGCGGAAGTTTTGGGTTTTTAGGGAACGGCACCAGTTATGGCTTGGAGATACGCATTGACAAACAACCATCCGAACACAGCGTATTGTTTTTTCTCCTTTTCTGGATGTCTGTCTTGTTTTCAAACAACCCGAACCAACGTTCAACAAGAAATTGGAGGCCTGCGTGACAAACCCAAATCGCTGCTTTGCCTACCACCCGACGTCTATTGAAAGATGAGATACCTGGCGTGTTACCACGAAAAACAGAGAGTGATATGATGGCAGTAGTCTTCCATTTGCACTCAATTTGTGTTTGGTTGGCCCGTTATGAACAAGAGTTGTGGTGCAGATACAGAGTCGATCCACGTGATTTGTGTGCTCCAGAGATTGAATCTCAATTTAATAATCATTGGGACAAATTGAGACAAGTAGCGTCGAGCATTTTTATTACGCATGTTGGGTTTGAGTTGTTAATGTTAAACTTATCCGATTGTGAACAACTCCATGTGCCATTCTTTAACATAGGGCACAAGTCTTTGGATTGCCATCAGATAGTCATATGGACATATGTTATAAACTTGTTGCATCCGTCGATAGCACAAGTTATAGCACAAGTTGCTGTGATTTTGGAACAAGCATTGAACCGGTAAGCAACGTCTGCAGATATTTATTTACATTTCCCTGACAATGAACCTGGAAATCCAATTCCAGTTTGTAAGCGGGGTTTGATTGTTGCTGTTGAGCAAAATCAACCGCAACAACCCCCGATGGACTGGCGTCCTATCTTGACTTTGGGTGAAAAAGGCGGGTGTTCACTGGATCCAAGCTGTTTGTAGAAAAGTTCACAAAAAAACTTTGCAAAACCAAGGCTGTCACACATTTTGGAAAGGGACGGCATGCAAGCACATTGATAACCAAGCTGAAGCAAACTGCTCACCCCATAATTTTCCAAGATCTGCTGCAAGGACAAATAAACTTGGTTGTCATTGCTGTGAGCCACCTGTGATGACAAGACTGGCTTGGTCTGACCCATGGAATGCCTGGCAGTGTGGACTTGGGCGTCATGTGTTAGGCTCTCTCTCACATCGGACTGGCAGCCTGTTGTAATGATGCTAGGGCTATGACCCGGCCCTGGAGCTTCAGGACCGGCCCGGGACCGGGCCAGATACGGCCTCGGACCTGAGTTCATTTTGAAAGCTACCGGGCAACACCGGGCCAGCCCTGGGTCGGGCAAGCCCTTTTTGAGCGCATTTGATAGCTTGAAAGGTACGCTCAATAACATCAAATTCGATCAAATTCAACCACCAAAAAGTTCAGAATAAAACAAATGAGTGTAGAATAATAAAAACAAAACAAACAAATGAGTGTAGAGAAAAAAAAAGAAACCAAAACATACAAATGAGTGTATAGAAAAAAAAAATAGAACATAAAACAATAAACAGCAAACAAGGAGAAAGAAACATTGAGATTGATTTACTTAGATAACCCAATACCCCATGACTTAAGACAAATCTGCGCCTCAAAGTTTTGATTAGTCATGCATGATCGATAGTCAGACATCACTCTGGAGCCAGCAGAAAAGATACGTTCTGAGGGGGCACCGGATGCAGGAATGGCAAGTATGTACATAGCCATCCTAGCAAGCACAGGCCAGTTTGATTGGTTTGTTTTCCAAAATACTAAGATATCAGTACGTTCATCCACCAACGGGGCAAGAAGATACTCCTTCACTTCGTCCTCAAGTTGAATGAATTTTCTTTGTTTGATAAAATGATGTGGTCTATCGTCATCGTCTTCAAGCACGGGTTCCGGTTCAACTATCTCAATATCTGGATCCTGAGTAGGTTTGAAGTGTCTAGCTTGATTGATAAAGTACTCGATAAGTTGATCTTTGTCGAATCCAAGCTCTTCCAAAGTGAAAGCAGTGACAGCATTTAGCTTACGGCGAGGGTTGAGAATAGGGGAACATATGTAAACTGGTTTCTTCAAAGCCAATGTCGAATAACGAACTAATTTCTTGACCATAGGCAGAATAGCTGCCTTTAAGTTAGTACACTCGTATGTACTCCATGCCTATGTTTGGTAAATACAAATACATATCAGACATCAAGATAAAAGTTAGTAATTATGAAATGGCACTTACTTTTTCAAGTTTTTCCACGAGCCATTGATAATCGGGCATTGCTCGTGAGAAGGTAGGATAATCATCACCCTCGATCTCCTTGATCACAATTGCAAGAGGACGAAGAAACTTGACTAAGTTTCCCACCAAGACCCATTCATCTTTGGTTAGGAGGTAAGGCTCCAAGGATTCATTGATGTTACAATAGTACTGAAGGACTTTCTTCAATTCAAAGTATCGCTCAAGAGAGTAAAAGGTTGAAGACCACCGAGTGGAAACCTCGTGGATGAGCCCAACTTTTCGAGGCTGAGAGGATGAGGAAATACATTGATCAAGTGCTTGCTTGAGCTGAGTGCTCAGTCGGACCCGTTTATGGAAACCACGAATTCGAGTAAGTATCGAGTGAACTTCAAGATGAGGTGTAGGTTCGATAAAAGAAAGGGTTCCATCTGGAAGTTCGAGATCTTGAGGTAATTGAGGATCTAGAGCACTGAGAGGATCCGGGGGAGTCTTGGTGTCGAAAATCAAGACTCCAGCCTTAGCAACAAGGTTGATAACGTGGGCCACACAGCCGTGGAGATTCTTCTCGGGATCAAAGTGAGGTATAAGAAGTTTGAGCTCTCGCCCCATGGTTAGGTTGTTCGAAGCATTGTCAGCTGTAATGCAATAGAGTTTATCGCTGATAGAGAATTGATCTAAAGTGTTTTTAATGAGTGCAGCCATGTTTTTACCCGTATGCGCGCCATCGATTTCTTTCAAAGCTAAAACCACCGATTTCATAGAGAACTCATCGGTCATCCAGTGAGCTGTTATTCCGAGCATCGGTACACTGCTGGGTGAGGTCCAAGCATCACATGTGATGCTGATGTAATCTACTGAAGAAAGAAGGGAACTGAGGCGATTACGAGCAAGACGGAACTGAGCAACGATGCCATCGGTGATGGCAGTTTGTTTCGATAAGATAGGAGAGACAGCAGGGTTGATCCAGGCCAAAAGTTCACGGAATTCTGGGGCGTCCACAACTGATACAGCAAGCTCTCGATTAACGATCAGACGGATCACGGCATTGGTGAGGTTCTTCCTATTGAGTGTTCCTAGCTAAAATACATAAGGTAGATGTAAGAAAACAAAATACACTATTAAATGAAAATAATATGATCCACTTACGTTAGAACTCTTGCCAGTGGCAGAGAAGGATGCCAGAGTTTGCTGTGAGGTGTTGATTGGGGGTTCGATGTGGTGAGCACGAGAGAGGTGACGAATCATTGATTTCGTGCTTCCACTCTTATCGATCGCGAGCTCTTCTTGACATACAATGACAGGGGCTTCTGAATCGGGATTGCTGTTAACCTTGTCAGCAAATCCCTTGTTAGCACAGCACACGTTCTTGACCGATTTGTCCTTGAACGTGACCGTCGAAAAATACTGCCACACCCAAGAAGTTCGGTTGGTGGCAGTATCTTCCGATTCGACCGCGCTGGCCACCGCTGAGATAGAGTCGGAAGGTGCAATAGAAGTTGTGCTGGAGGCGGTAGAATTCGACATGGCATTGGGATCGGTGAGGTCACGGCGAAGGCTTCGACGTAACATCGTGGTGGGTAATCGGAGATTTGGAAGCCTTGGGTACATTAACAGTGGGGTATCCGGTGAAAGGGTTTACGGCAGAAGGGTAGAAAGGGTATTGAGATGCCCTTTTGCCTTTTCTGGGGTGGAATTTTCGCGGCGGCCCCGGCCCCGGGTGGCCCTTATACAGGGCTTTTGGGTATCTCATTAGGTTAGGGCTGAGGCCCCGAGCTTGGCCTCGACCTTGCCCAAAATACTCTCGGGCAGACTCGGCCGGGCAGGGCCAGGGCCGGGTCATAGCCCTAAATGATGCATATACATACATCATCACAGCATTTACCATACGTACAATACTACCTAGACCTAGACTTAGACTTAGTAACTTTTCACTTACTTCTCAACCACCACATCTGTGGAATGGCTCCTTAGGGAACTCGAGACTGATCTCGTATTCTATTCCTTTGGAGCCAGGTTAGCATTCATTTCAATTATCTCTTTTCATTCTATTTCTCTTTATGCTTGATTACATTGTATAGTCCTTCCAGAGGGAACTCAAGACTGATCTCGTATTCTATTCCTTTGGAGCCAGATTCTAGCATCAATAATAATCAGATACACCTTGGTTCTAGAATCCTAAAGTCCCTTGTGGCATCAGTCCTTCCTGTTCCCTCCGTGAGATTCACTTTGAAGTGAGGACCTTATAAGTCCTTTACACCTGTCTTACATCCTTTACTTCAATGCAATACTGTGATGTCAACGACAATATTGAAGGTATGAAGAAGCAACAAGAGACTTGATTTCATCTGACAATGTTGAAATTATCTTGGCTGCTAACAATGGCAACAAGATATGCTCTCATTGTGGTAAAAACATCATACCATTGAGGATTGCTGTAGTTTAAAATCAAGTCTTGAAAAATACAAAGTTCTGAAAGCCAAAAAATATGAAGTGGAGAAACCTAGAGTTTAACCGACTAAGAACCAAGCTAAAAATCAAGCTAGGGGATTTAAGGCTGCAAAGGCTAAGGCAGCTGCAACTTCTCATGTTTCATCTGATTCTGATCAATCTATCGATATCAACTCCAAAATCTTGTTGGCAGCTGTTATTAAGGCTTCCTCTGTGAAAACAAGTAGCTGGTTTCTGGGTTCTGGAATGTCGCAAGTCATGAAACTGGTTGCAAAATTACTATCACAGGAAAAGTCTGATGATACTACCATTCACAGCCCCCAGCTACTAGTCAGTGGCAGGCCAGAGATTACCATGACTTCAGGAAGTTTTCAAAGTAATTTTGAAGAAACTTCAAGCAAATTTCAGAGAGCTGCAGATAAATTTCAAAAGAACTTTATAAGATGGTGCCTGCAATCATCTGGACAGTTATCCAAACCAACACAAATTTGACAATGTCTCATTTTTAGAATAGAATTACTGAGAAAGGCCCAGAAGAATTTAATAAGTTTTTGATATCTTCAGAAGATTTGTTCCAAAGAGAGAGCAAGCCCCCAAAAATTGTGAGATAAGAGAGAGGCAGGTACACAAGGCAGGAAATAGAGGGTGGCGTAGAGTGCTGGATCTACAAAGATGGCTATCACATAGGTTGAGTTTGGGGGGTTTTGACTTCCCAGTAACACACCTCTACCCTTCTGTGAGTAGTGGGGTTGATAAAACTTTATTCTTGTCACTGTTCTCTTGTCCAGAGGGCAGGACAGACATCATGGAAGTACCATACCTTTCTTTTCCTATGAGACCACCCCCAAACCACAACCAGTAGAATGCTGGTCCAATTGGGAAAGGGTCTGTATTCTACATGTGGTAGAACAAGCTTTGAGAAGAACACCTTCCCTGACAGGAACTATGAAAAGGTTCCTACAAACACGTGAATACAATAGGGCACATAAGTGCCCACACGGCATCACACCTGACAAGATATGGATGAATGATTTTTAGCTCCTTCTTTCAAAGAACAGCATTTAGGAGAAATTCAAACTTCCAATCATCATTATTTCTTTGGATATTGCAGTACATTGCGTCACAAAAAATATTACCACAAAATTTGAATACACAGAATCTCTTGAAATATCCATGTGAATGAAAATTATTTTGATTTGAATTGTTGGGAGTAATCTTGAGGCAAGTTATCACAAACATATCAATGGGCTGGTTGCCTATTTGTTCTTCAAAAGTTGAACTTACAATACTTAGCCTTCACAGAATTTCTCTGTCAGTATCACACCTCTTCTTTGGATCTCATACCTCAGACCCAAGTTGAACTCCTCAGGCGCCACATGCAATGAAATTATATATTTGAGCCTGAAGGAAGTGATCAATTGTCAGAATCTTGAAAACACCAGCAAAACTCCAGCACAGATTAGGTTTCAGACAATTCGATAGAACATCTTTCAGCAAATTAATAATTGACAGACAACAGCGGTAAAATCAACAGAAACCCAATACATGCAAAGTTCACATTTCTATCAAATGGATCAAAATATAAATTAAGTAATTGATATCTGAACAAAAAGATAATCTATCACAGAAGAAGCTTTCCAAAAAGTGAGTTAGGATTACATCATTTCCTTGTGGTACCTTGATGGATGTGTGTTCCATCCAATTATTTTTTTTGATACCAATTTCCCAATTCCCAAAATTACTAATATGTTATTATAGTCGCAAAATAAGTAAAGAAAATTCTCCGTATTGCACATAATGCCCCCACGATACAGGCGTGCGCAAACCTATAGTATTAAGTGCGACCATTTTTCAAAACCTTTGGAGCATTGGGCAAATCTGAAGCGCTGTGTCTAGATCGCACTCTTCTCAACGATTTGGGCCTCCTTTAGTCTACAAAAACAAATTTTACATAGGGTTAGCAGACTTCATACCAAGCGGTGTAGAATTTAATCTGGGAAAAACGTACGCCCAATGTTTTCACGCATTCTGCCTCGTGCTTTGAAAGATATCCAATATAAGTGTATGGTCGCTTACAGTATCTACACTCCAAAGTCAGGGGCCCTGAAACAAAGCCAAATCTCCTGAGGTCGTCAGCATTTTCAAGGGATATATAAATATAGAACACCGGGTATGTTGGGAAGAAGAGACTCGCCTTCTCGATGAGTACAAGAGGCAGCGTGCTTTTGAAAGCTTATCTGGCTTTTACACTTTCGATTGCCTAAGAGAGAAAAAGAAGGATTTGGATTTCAGCGGATCCACAAAGTAAAGACCATAGCACCTAAAGTTGACAAACAGTTTCGGCACCTGACCGAGACATTTGAACGATTCATGTTAGAATTTCAGCACCCCGTAGGTTCTCGCATTTATCACGAGAAGAGATTGAAGAATCAAAAACGAACCTGAACTCTTCTCCCGATTCCCGACTAGAGGATCCAGGAGGAAAAATGTAGTTGGAGGTAGATGCAATGGGTCTGCGGGCAGAGAGGTCCGAAGTTCTTTCCCGCCTATCATGGGCAGGCAAAGATGCCTCCGGGTACTGTCGAGCATAGTTCCCTCTGTCACTCAGATCAGTTTGACGAGGCCCATATTCTGATGATCTTCCGAACATTGTGGGCGAGGGACGAGTTGCCGGAAATTCTGATGAGGAGCTCCTCACCGTTCTCATGCGTATGGATTGCTCCGTCGAGGATTCATGATGTCTTGTCAATTCCGAAGGCATTCGTGAAGAAGATGACATCCCCCAAAGATGTCCTTCACTCTGAATACGCGGTGAAATAGCTCTCGTTGTAGAGCGCGAAGTCGTGGGCTCATTTAGCCAAGGGTAAGGTTCAGCATCGTCGTCAGGGCGAGAGAAAAACTTGCTCAATATGGCACGAGACGAGAGATCTGACGAGCCAGGTGGGTCAAGTTTGTTGTAAGAAGGACAAGTGGTAGTCAAGTAGTCCCGACGTTCATCAACTCCACTTGGACGTCTTGATTCGCCATTTTCGCTGGATGGAGGTCGTGGGGTGGGGACTCGGAGCGAAGTCAAACCCTGGAGTCCTGCATCATGTGAGAATGAATTTTTAGTCTACACATGGTCAACCATGAAGATTACGGTGTAAAAGAACATGAAGAGACCATATATGGTATAGAATTCATTAGAAAAAAGAAGCATCGATCATCCAACAAGCTCACCAGGAATTCTCATCTCACGACTCCCCACATCAGTGGCTTCATTCTGTCCGACTTGTTGGGATCGAAAACGATCACGTCCTGATGGAGTCAACGACCTACTATAGCCCGAAAGAACGTTAAATGGACAAAACACCCAATCAATAAAAACTTTCAGAAAAGAGTTCAGAGAAACAGAAACTGTAATTTTTTTAAAAGAGCTGATATTTTAGGTGTGCAAGGACGATTTTCTAAAAACAAAGATGTGTCTCATAGACTCACCGCGAAGACATTGAAATGAACCTCTAAGCTTATCGAGGATCGAAATCGAGTAAAGATGTGAGTGCAACTCTGCTTATAACGTCCATCAATACATCGGATCAGAAAGGTGTATGCATTCCAAACAAACAAAGAATGCTGCGTCAGAAGAGCATCAGCTGATTACCGAGCAAATGCATCGGTACACCCGTGAAACGTGAAAACCAGTCTGTTGGAATAAGGTAAGAGTGGATCAAACATACCGTACAACATGGTCGTGATCCGACGACTGCTTGTCGCGAAGACTAAACTTTTTACAGTACCTGAGTATAAGAAGCGAGTAAGTTATGATCCTACCTGAGGTACATAAATAAAACAGACTTTCTGGATCGATATGAAGAGAATCTTGTACGGAGTTGGAGCCAATACTCCAGGATCAGTCCACACAGAGAAATGCGGAAATTGCCGGCAGAATGGAACCGGTGTCCTAATGCCACTTGTATAACAGAGTGTACGCGATTTCTTGGCTCTTGTTGCACGACATCCTGTGATGTCATTATGTACATCAGTCCAATCACCGAGCGGAACAACATACGCAGTGAATTGGTCCACGTTGCTTGTATCGTTCGCATCCAAAGTCGGAGCATTGTCAAACACGGCACATACGTTTAGGGGGATTTTAGCTGCTTGCAGATACATACTATTTGTAAAATATAAACTTATTAAAGTTGATCTAAAATAATGTTCAGCGAGCGAGCCGCATATGACAGGTTGTTCACCCTTTTTCACCAGATCAACGATATAAATGAGCATACATAGACTTAAGAACCATATTTCGGGGCTGAGCCGGTGTGAAACTCCCGACGCATTTCGCGAGGCGAGTGTGGGACTTCATTAAGTTTACATTGACTGCTACCTACTGCTACGCGGACAATTTGCAAATACAGAACTGCAAAAATTGTTGGAGAAATCTCAATCTCGCTATGTGGTGTATTCCAGTGGTGCACTCTTATGCACAATTAGAGTCTTTCTTGAAAAAAGTAAAAAGATTGTGGGCGCTGATCCACCTTCTTTGAGTAAAATTTGTGATTTTGTGATGAGAACATGTGGATAGTGCTTCCACCAGATGTACAATAATCAACATGTAACGGCTTTTCACCAAGTATTGTAGCTTCATTCTGAAATTAAACTGATAACTGCCCAATGCTCTCTACAGTCGAAGTATGTATCAGCTTCTTTTGTCCATGAATCCACGACACGGGGTAGAAGTTGACAGGACAAAACAGCAAGGTCCTGTGAAAGTTGAGACTATGATCTGTTGGAGTGACACCTTCAATATGAAGATACATTTGTTTTTGAAGGACACATTTCACCCGCTTTAAGTGACCGATGCTTCTGCTTAGTAAGCTCCTCTACATTAGCAAACGCTCGGTCGTGCCTTCAAGGCAGTCATATCATCAAAAATGGTGTCCTTTCTCGTATATACGCGTTAGAAACCGAACTCATGCGCGATATCTTCCCAGAAGTTAGCTACTCTGGATGCATTCTCAATATCTCCTTGGTTTTGAGCACGATGAAATGGTGTGAAATGTCGACGTCAAGGATCAACCATTGCCGTCGTCTGCGTCAAGACATTCCGTTTTGAATGTACACCTTGCTGGGCTTGTTTCGGGAACAGCCAACTCCATCGCAAAAGCTATACGTACTCGGCATTAAACCTCACGATCATCTATGTCGCTTGAGAGCATGTATACTCAGATATATCTGTGTTTCGAAGGTTGCGCGCGCATTCTCGAACCCCACCCGAAACCTCGTTTGTTGCTCGGCGAGGAATTACGTCGTAGCTGCGCCTGACACTGCTTGCGGCGGAAGAACACGGTTGATATTCGGCTCTGGGCCGTCCGAACACCACAAATAGCAATGGTATCCTGCTTCATGATCTATCGACCTTGTCATGAAGATGTTCGACACGGTGCGCAAGACGTCGTACTCGTCTATCCCGAAGTTTCGTACAGAAGATGACTAAGATTGAACTGCTTTATTAACCATTCAAGGGGTAACCAAATACCTGGATAGAGATAGCGTGCAATTTTCCACACATATCATGAATTGATGCTTCAAGGATTTCTCAATCCGACGATTGGATTCATCATTGGTATACATAACGTGATTGAAGCTGCCGTCGGGGTTTTCAGAAACTTGAGCGTAATGGTTTTCAACGTTTCGGAGGGAATCTACCCAGATCTATCCGATGTGGCTTCACCGAAAAAGCACAGACACACCCGTGGCCCTACGGATACGAGAGCCTTTCATGCTACACTGTTTGCGGATTTCAGCCATTGTACGGATCGGCAGGTCATACTGACAATGAATCTCAATGAGCCAATGCCAGTCCCCGCTACTGACGGAAAGGTGATCGAGAAGCCTTTCGGGAACTACATCATCGGATAATGCCGAGGAGCTCCACAAAATCCTCTGTGGGGAACGAGCCACGCGCGTACCTTCAGTAAGCCCGTGACCAGTGTTACGGATGCAGAAGATCCACAAGAATTGAATTTGTAAGAATCGACTGTAGTTCTCAGACAAACGATGAATATGATGTATCTAACAATCGCAAGTCCGACTGTAGTCTCAACAGGAGAGGACTGTAGGAAGATGTCCGCAGGATACGTTCCATAGCCAAAATTTAGATGACATGGATGTTACGTTAGATCTCAGATATCGACACGTCGAGTCACGTTTCATATCAGGCCACTGAACCGCCTTTCGAAGCACCGCACAGAACCCCGTGAAGGTCGTGAAGCGAGCGTCATGGAAACACTTGTCGACAGTACCTGTACTGGTGTACCAACATCCTAGAAGGCGACACCACTTGGCGTCTAGGGCCATACAGGCGTCAATGCGCAAAAGGGTATGAAGTCAAAAAAGTCTCCGATTCGTGATAACCCAAAGGTAGCGGGTGTCGACGCGTAGTTTTCGATGGGTTTTGGTATAGAGGCATTGGACGCCGCCGTTGAAATCGTGTTTGGATTTTTCATCATGACGAAGATGAGTGTTTCCTCGTGCTGACAGTCGGCCACCCACGTTGAAATTCGCCATCTGCAGTTTCATTCCGATATGTATCAATTTACTTGAGAGATAAGATCTCATGAGATGTGTGTAGGTGGGCGGGCGTGCAGTTATTTTGTTGAATTTTGAGTTTATCGGTTCATGAAGTAGTAATTAAAATTGATTGGATTTTCCTGGATTTTCACGATGAGTTAATTTTTGGAGTTGATGATCGAACAGAGTACATAGTGCAGATCAGTGCAGATCAGTGCAGATCATCTTTTTCTTTCATCGGCGGCTGAAAGTGGTATCGCAATGACTCACAATAAACTCTTCAAACCTATCCGCTTCTGGTTTATTGCTTGATTTTCTGCGGTCTTCCCCGGTCAGGGTCTCGAGCGTGTGCTCATTTATTCGAATGAGGTACGATCAAGACCCCGGAGAGCTGTTATCGAAGTGCATGATGTGATTTTTTTTCCCTACATTACACACACTTCAGCACAGTTCACCTTCATAAAAACTTGACCGAATCTCTTGCTCCTACCTCACCGATGTTTAGCCAGGAGCAAAACAGTTTGTTGAGTTTGAAGTCCATACCCACAAGCGTGAAGAGTATTTAACGTGATGTAGAGGCTGTGAAATACACAGCAATTCACAGCGAACATAAGAAAATAAAGGAATTGTATTGGCGCGAGGTTTGGGACAGACTTAGAGTTTTCAACAAACGCTACTGATTTAACGTAGGACGGCCCCGGAGGGTCTGACTCGAAATTGCAGAGAGAAATGCCGAAAGCCCGATGGGGTGGCTACAATTAAGATAACGAAGTCCCCCAATCAGAGGGTGGGACGGTGGGAGAAAAAATTTCTAACAAGATTTTTAAGCTACTAAGATGTTTATTGAGAGAAACGAGAGCTAAAAACCGTTGAGAATGAAATTGGATGATACAATTATTAAGAAGTAATAATGTAGAAAGAGAGGAAAAGAACAACCGGAAACCACAGGTGAATCAATTAAAGAAGAGATAGCAGAATGGTTGCTGTGCTTGAAAACCGTGGTTTAGTAAGTTCTTTCGGAAATCAGGTGACGCGTCTTTCCCGAAAAATCACAGCGTCTTACAAAGCCTTCCCGCCTACCCCGATTCCTGTGAGTTAAAACATTCGTCCCAACTACCAATCTTTTACATCATGCACCTCTACAGGAGCTCTCTAGGGTCCTGTAAAATCTACCTGGGACTGGGCGCGATAGGAAGGCTGATAATCAAAAGAAGCCAACAGAATTACCCATCCATTCACCAAAAGGATCATCGGCGCTCTATTTCGCAGCCGAGCTGAGCCTGCAATACATGGACTCAACCTGACTCAACCCTACTCGACTTGCAGGCTTCCGCCAATGGGCATTTGTACAAAGGCTCCAGGTTAGCCTTTCGAGAATATTTTACCACGCTCTGCCACGTCTGTCTTTGGTTGATTGCACTTGATCTTTCCACTACCTGACGTTCACATCTTCGTAACAATTTTAGAGTCAAGCTACATCAAAGTTTGACTCGCAGCTTCGAAAATTGGCTGGAGAAGAGAGCTTGTAATCAACTAAGAGTCGATTGATATAGCTTTGGAACTTAAGACATTCTACACGCTCAGGAAAGGACATTGGAATGGATAGTGTTTCGGGCAGCAGCAAAACAGCGCAAGGAAAATATCACCCCCTGGGATTTCTGGGTCGTCCGGTAAACGAAGTCGACCTATTGAATTCTAAAAAGTACCTTTGTACCGAGTTTCACGAGTACATGAATCACATCGTATTAGTAGAGTAGTGACCTCGTAATTTTCTGCCGGCTCAACTCCTCTGATACCCATTCAAGTGATCGGGTCACTAATGGTAGATGATTCTTCACCCCTGTCAAAGGATAAACTTATTTTACAAGGTGTTCAGCTTCGATCACTAATCATGAACATGAATGGACTCGACGCTACGTTTTGGAAAGGGTATGAAAATCTCAAAAGATTCAATTGCTTTTTTTGTTTTACTGGATTGCTTCGAAACGCCATGATAGGGTATGATCCTCGTAATCGTTACTATGTATATGAACTGGCTCACGCCTTCCTGAAGTAGGTACTGAACAACAACTTGACAAGTGTATATAAACTCCAGTGTCACTATCCCCTGTCTCATCGGAATGAATCTTTTTGCTAACAAAGGCTCTCCCCCAGGACGATAGAGTTTCCTTGAGGCGCCTACAAAGACTTGATTGATAGTCGTTGGACTCTAGGAGTCGAGTAGAGTGTTGTGTTGGTAGATCGATGAGAACCACAGCGCCAATTCACATTCGAAGTACATAGATGTCTGGTACATATGAGCTTTTGGAGGCTTTTGAAAGCTCTGGCTGCAGGGAATCTGACCTCTTTCTCTGATCGTCAGTGTCTGCACATCTCTTCTCTCTCAGTCTCAAACTTCACTATGTTGATGATCTCTACGTACATACATACATATATGCGGTCCGAAGGCTTCAAATCTCGTCGACTACATGAGATTATATAGCGATCATTTAGTCCTAATTTCACAAGTTCGACTCGTTGAAGGGGAATCAAATGTGTGATACCATAAGTTGACGATATACGCTTCATTTGGTAATTATACGAATGACTGCTCGTCATCTCATGGAGAAGCTCGACATTCCATAATGACATTTGTGAATGTTGTGTTCTTCACCATAATGATGTACCAAGTGAAGTCTTGTCTCATTTCAAATGAGCATCATCTGTTTGATTTTGGAATACCGTATACTGTTCCTGCTACATTTCGCTCCTTGCAAACATGTACATCTCCTTGTGTATGATTCGTTCATCGCGGTGCATTGTCGTCGAGATTTTCTTCACTAGCAGTCAGAGTCAATCCAATGTCAGGATTGCAAATGAGCTAACGCTCATTCTTGCGCCCATGTCGAGTATCTGTGTTACCACAACATCAATTGGCCTTTTGACGTCTGAATCCACCCAGGAGCCTTTTTATTGGGTATTTTCCTAATGAAGTCAAGTTTGCAATGCTTTTTGAGAAGTTTTGAAGGTCTAAATGGTACAATAGGAGTCAGACACAACTCGAGGTCTTTACTTTTCAATCACCGCGTCGTAGTTCGGAAGGTTCATGTCATAATTCAAGTCATGATCGACTCATTTTACACGCTCATTCGAGGCAAAACAATTGATATCTGGACAAACGGGCGAATTCGAGTGTGAAGCCCATGGTTGAACTTGCACTAGTGGGATAGAAGATCAGATTCTTGACAACATTGAAAGATTTCTTGGAAGTCCTCCACCTAGAAGACGGATGAGCTGAAGAGTCAAGCCAAGATTTTTTATAGGAAAGACACCTACATAGAGAAATTAGCAAAGAAACAGAAGGTGTCATTGATGACCTCTCTGGTGGTGTGTTTCCCGGTGTGAATGTTTTGCAGAAAAGCCCCGTGAAATGGTAGATATTGCATTCTACAATTTGCCAAATGATGCAACTTATAGTTGGTCGAATGCGATGTGAGCATAGGCTTGAAAGTATTTTCACAATATCCCCCAAGGAATTTGAAAGCGAGAGGTTTGAGACGCATCTTGAATGTTCTGTGGTACTGTGTTGTTTGAGCTTGGTCCACGCTTCATAAACACATGTTGTGAACTGGGGATTTTGATTGTTTCCCATCAGCAATCATGTTTTGCAATATCACACAAGCCTTACATGCTCAATTGAATCTTGACCTGATGACATAGCCTGACTAGAAGTTGAACTCTGGAGGGGGTCCCAAAGGCATGTTCAGAATTCTTTACAGTACGTGCGCCTCAGCAAGATAAATACTTGTCTACATATCACACAATCCTCTTGTCTTTCTGAATACATAAATTTTGAGCTGAATTAGCAAGATAAGCTTGAATATGTAGCCATTTCCACATTCATGCCTCTTGACTGGTCATGAAGAGCCTGTAGAAGAATTGTGAAGCAGACATTTTGAGTGTGGGTAAAAATGAGTGACTAGCTGTTGAACAGCCGGTATCAGCCGAAACGGCTTCTTTCCCTGACCTGACCATAGTTCTGTTGAAAATGTTCGAAGTTCAGCGAGGTAAAAAATACAAATGTAGTTTCAACTTTCATCCTTCTTTGTTGGCTTGCATGAATTCAGCTTACAATTTTCTTGTTCATATTACATACTTGAGCACTTGATGATGTCATCCTCAATCGGTCAACCCCATCGACATCCTTTATCAGCTTCAACTCAATCGCAAATCTCTTCAAAACCGAGCTCGCCTTCAAATCGAACTTCTCATCATCATCAAATCAACTCATTATATCATTCTATCCTTTCATCATCATCGTCATCATCATCAACTACAAACATCTATCAGAATAATATGAGTCAAATAGCTAGTCCCACTAGTAATCATTATCCTGATAAAATCAACCCTAGATATGTTCGACTGTGTTGGATCGATTTCACGGGCATGGTTCGATGTCGTGTAGTTCATAAATCAAGATACGATAAGATGGTCAGATCACCTCCAGAATCTTTACTATCATTGCCTGCCTGTGTCATGGGTCTTGGTCATCATGATGAGCTGTCACCTGGTTTCGGCCCTGTGGGCGATCTTTATCTTCAACCGGATAAAATTTCATATCGCCCATTGACCTATGAGCCCGATCATGCAATGGCGATGTGTAGTCTCCTAAGGAAACGAGAGCCAGACTACTTTAGTGAAAATGGTCTCGATCAAGCTACCTTCACGCCTTACCCACTCTGTCCTCGGTTTATCCTCAGCTCGACCCTACAAGGGGGTGTGGTCGATTGCGGTATCTCTTATCTCGTTGGTTTTGAAATTGAAGTTGTTTTATTAGAGTCGATCGATCCTCTTGTACCTGTTGATGGAGGTCTTAAGAATCATGCTTGGAGTACTCATTCAAGTATGAGATCAGGTAAAGGCTCATTAGCGATGCACACTCGACCAAACGTTCAGAGTAAGCTCATATTCTCTTGAGAGCAGGTAGCAAAGGTTTAGCATTCATTCAAAGGGCAGTTGAATATCTCGAAGAAGCAGGCAAGTAGTCCATGATAATTCGGAAATCAACAGCGAATAATTGACATACATCTGAAGGCTTTTCACCTCGTTGAAAAATTAGGGATCGGAGTCGAACAATGGCACGCTGAAAGTGCGCCTGGTCAGGTAAGTAATTGGCCATAGAATCTCTATCTTATCACCACGCAAGCAATCTGTTCACTCGGGTCAACTGACCTATCCAACTGTATGCTTTGAATTTGTAAACGTGATTGACGCAAACACATCATCTTTTTTAGTATGAACTGGCGCTTGCTCCGCACGCCGCGTTTCAGTCAATCGATCAGTTGATTTATGCGAAGGAGTTGATATACAGTGTGGCAAATCAGATGGGCTTGAAGGCTACCTTTTCGCCTAAGCCATTCGCAAATTTTTGTTTGTTTGAGATGATTTGTTTTTATTTTCCGGATACTCAACCTGACGTGTTTCGTGATCAATGGGTTCGGTAAACAGGCGGTACTGGAGCACACATGCATATATCGCTGCACAGGCGCAATAAAGTACGTACGCACGGGTATCACTTTCCTCACACTCAGATCGTTTGGCTTTATGTGAGGTACCATGTACAGTGTCGCTTAACGCATGGCAAACTATCTGTTTGCTTTACCGTATGAATAGACGAGTCCACAATCACCCACCGGTTTGCTTGATCATGACTCGGTCATCTCTCCGTGTTTGCGACCGGGTGAGTGGGCTTTAACCGTGTGGCTCATACCATTTAAGTCTCGAGAGTAAAACCAACTTGACTTCCACAATTTTAATGTAGTCACTACGAGTCCCGCGCTCAATGTGATTGAAAGCCATTGGCTCGCAGGTGAGTTATGAACTTTTGGCGCCGGAACTGGAGATTGTTCGCTTTGAATGGTGTGATCATTGACCAGCTCGCAATGGTGCTCTGATGTAGGGGTCTTATTACACCTACCCGCAATCACCGCTTTTACTCAGCCGTCCACATTCTCATACGAGCGAGTAGGTGATGGTACCTGGTCAGGCGGCGTTTGGTCATGTTGGGGCACGGCAAATAAGTTAAGCCCTTATATTGCGGATCCCAATTTACCATCGATGCTCAGTGAACTATTCCCTACTGACATGTGTTTCATTGCATATGGTAGGGAGGCGCCTATTCGCCTCTGTACCTCCTCGGCTACGTCTAGTTCGACCGAAAAGCATTTTGAGTTGAAGACAGCAGATTTTACGTCGAACATATATCTTGCCCTCAGCGTGGTGCTAACTGCGGGCTTACTGGGAATTCGTCAGTAAAAATTCATCACAGTGTTCATGAGGAGCCCTAGTCAAGCCTGACATATCTGGCTGCAATTCAGAAACCCCTCTTGATTTAGTACAGACCGATTGTCGCGGTAAGTCTTCCTGAATTGATTCTGATGATGTCATTAGAGCAACTCGAAAGCTTACATTCAAAATTCATATACAACCACGACTATACACTTCTTTCTCTAGTCGACCCTGCAAAATTGACTACTCAGGAAAGAGAAGCCCACAAAATCACGACCTCATTACCACGGACGTTAGATGAAGCTTTGTCAGCGTTGGAGAAGGATACAACGTTGGCTAAAGCATTGGGTCAGGTTTTTGTGAGAGCTTACACCACGACCAAAAGAGTGAGCTACCCTCAAAAACCAGATCTCGGTGTAGGCTCGTCTGTAAATTCCCTGACGGGTTCCTTTTTGTCTTTTTCGGTGTATGTAGGCGGAAGCTGAACGCTACAAAGCTCTTCCGGCTGACCAACAACAGAGGTTCGCCTTGGAACATTATTGAGGGCAAAAACACAATGATCCTTCTCTGTTTCACAGCATCTAGCTTTCTTTTTTGACGCCATTCTGGATTTAGAATTGACGGATACCCACAGGAGGACTATTTGAGAGGCTACCACCCAGTCTCAGAGTGACTGCTGCTACACTTTTTTTTTGCTTTGATAGACTATTGATGCACACTTGCTTGGTTGCACACTAACCATGAGCCAAAATTAAGCAAATGATTGAGTTTGTTTTTTTCTTGTAGTTTATAATGGGTATAAGCCTCACAAAGCACTTTGCAAAAACGTTTTTGAAATCTAGTATACCTCATGGTTCTGTAATATTTGGTATTGGACCGCAATGGAAGTATTGTAATGCCAGTATCTTGATAATATGTTCAAGATGAAGTTGGATACCAGTCCAACTGAATGGTACTATATCTTTATTTTGGTAGCACAGTCTTGGAAAAAAACAGTATCAAATTCATTTCAACCATGTCTGGTGAGAAACAATTATTTGGAAAATTATGTTGGCTCAAATCAGACAAAGGTATTGTTGATTTAATTGATGACAGAATTCTCAAGATTCAGAATGTATATTAACACAGTTGAAGTTGTACCACCTTAAAATTGGGTCAGCAGGTGCTGTAATAACTGACAAGCTTGTAAGAGTGTTAAGCATGGTGGAATAATATTATAGAACAATAGCCGTGTCCAAACCAAACTGGGTTGCTAATGAAAAACCTGGTGCACCCAATTTTTGGCTGGGATCTGTCAAGAACTGTCAATAAATGTCAAATTGGTACACAAAGTTACCACCAGAAAAACAACTGGATGTACCAGTTTTTTTTTTGCAATCAGGTTAGGTTTGAGCATGGCTAATGCATAATGGTCTAGAAAATAGATGGCAAATAATTATTGATCATATATAGGGACATGCAACAAGAATGAAATTTTGAAAATAAACATTTGGACCTGTGGGCAGGCTGGCAGCACAAGTTTGGCCAGCCACATACTGTGGATATAATTTTGTCTCTTCTATCTACCACTAAGACTAGAATAAGGGGGAGCCTAACAGTATCAGACTTATCCTGAGAATCCCACACTCTGGGACTCTCTCTGAGAACACCAAAACGCTTCAGAAAATAAGGGCTTTCTGTACACCCAGTCCACGGTGTGGTCAAGACTGATGGCACTCCATAGTTCATTTGTACAGTGCACCATACCCTATATAAATGAGGATAGAATTGGGAAGCTGACTCAGAGAGCATTTGTGAAAAAGAAAATGACTTGTATTGGTGAACTTGAAAGACTTCAACATTCTGCTTTTGTTGTGGTGCATAGAAATATTGGGTGTTGCCATGAGAGTAAGCATGAAACAAGTAAACTGAAGGGACTTGGACTTGAAGTTGTAGACAGTGTAGTACTTAAAGCTCAAAGAGCTTCACAACCCCTAAGAAGGGATGATATACTAATGTAGCAATATTAGAAGTTGCTTAAAGACTGCCTTCTTCAAAGAAACCAGCACAGGAGCACTTGCTGACCACTTTGTGATAACAAAGAAAAAGATAAGGCACCAGATAAATGATCTCAATACTATTACAAGTAGTATTCCAGTTCTAAAGGGCAAAAACTCCACAAAATAGTATCAATTACTAGCAATACTGTTGTAAGTATTATTCCCCAGGAGACTTGTAGTCTTCAACACACATCAATAAATTTATCCTTTCTTGAAGGGGCTGATTTACGTGAACTTAGTACAAATATAGTAATTGAATGATGATCAAAAACACTATAACAAAGGAATAAGATGAGAAAAAGGGGGAACAGGGCCCGTAAAGCACCAATCAATGGTATATATCATCCCTTCAATCTTTCAACAATGGTAAACAACCTTCAAAAACCAATAAAAACTTGACAAACACCTCAAAAACCTCAAAAATCTTGCTGATATAATTTTATGATGTAATTACTATCAATAAATGACAAGATTTGATCTGTGTAATTGATCAATTGATGTTTAGAAATGATGATCATAGCTCTTCTTGTGATGTATTCAGGTGATTTTTCCTTGTATCCATAGCTGAAAACCATTTTTAGAATTACAACATTTTTTTGTAAACTTGTCCAATTTTAGATTACTATACCTCATTTCATAGCCCTCTTGATACTGATCATTTATGGCCCCATTGTGACCTACTTCTGATGTGTGATGAAGAGGGTATTGAGTTGTAGAGATTGAGAAAATCAGCTTTTTGTCATGTAAATGCTGCTACATGTGTGTATGTAAGCAACGCTGGGCTGCTGCGCTGTGATGCACACAGCAGAGGGTTGCAGAGCAACATAGTAATTTTTTTCCCTCTTCAACGGGCACACCAAAGCGGGCAACTACAATACATGCTGCGTTTGCTGTTGCGCGGTACGGTGGGTCACCTCAAGGAGCAGTGAAAGTCAGTTGATGCTTTGCTCCTCTGTATTGCGTCATTAATTTTCATTATAAATTTAATCAACCAGTAATTAACCAAAAAATGAAACGTTTGTTATTTGATCTCCATTCCAATTCATAACTTCCTGCACCCAAAAGCCTCAATTGCTTCATTCATGTTGGTGTACTTGTGCGCTACGGGTACACCTTGACAGATCCAGAGTCTCAAACCTAAACAGCACTCAATGGATTTGGGTACAAGGGAGGCACAATCAGCTGAGCAGATATCTTCAGCAGCCAAGAACGTCCTTTTCACCGTGGCCAAGCCCGCCAGAAGACTCATATAGTCTTGGGCAACCAACACCAGGATTGGAAAGGCTGTGCAGTTCACATGAACAAACAAAGATGATATTAGGTAGTATAATAATGCAGGAAAACAAGAACATTGAAAAAGTGGCAACTTACCTTCCACCATGAGAGAATGGCCTTGCTTTTGCAAGTGTTGTCTGTCACAGCCATAGGCTGTGACCCTTGTAAGTAGGCTGCAACTTTGTCCAGCTGCACCTTGGTCTCTTGAGCTTTAAAGAGTTGGAAAACACTGCAGTGAACTGTTGAGTTACCTGAGTTGACAGTTACCTTTGGAGGAGCTGGTGTTCTTGTAGGGTCAGCTGATGACACAAGTTTTTTTATTTGCTTAATGAATTCTCTTTGACATAAGTTTCCGGTGTGGTGCGCAGATCATGGTATCAATCAAAAAAAAATTAAAATCAAAATTATTGATAATCATTATTGAGCAGGGGTTATTATTACATATTAATTACATCATAACTTCACAATCTAACATATATTAAATCAATTTTATTATTCATTTAATTTTATTGTTATCAATTTTTATTTTTATTTCATTTTAAAAGTCAAAAACCAATTTGTTTATTATAGTACACATAGTTTCAGATTTGACATTCAATCTTTCATGGTTTAATTCAAACAACTCATAAGAAAGATAATACAAAAAACAAATCTTAAGACAAAAGCTCTTTTTATATGTTGAAACCATATTTTATTTTTGAAACACTTATTTAAATTTTATTTTTAGTTTTATTTTCATTCATTTAAACAAACAAAAGAAAAAAACTAAGAAAAAATAGAAACATTTATTAGAGGAAAGTTTTAGATCAAGTACAAATTAATATTGATGTGATGTGAATGAAAAGAAAGGAGAAACGAGTGAAAATGAAAACTTAAATACATATGATTAGTGGTGTTTAGAGATCATGTTGGTTAGTTTGGTAGTTCTAAGGATAGTATCTGAAAGAAGAGATGAGAAGAGAGAGATGACTTACCGAGTGACGAAGTGAAGAGTGTAGAAAGGAAAGATCGAGATCGAGATCGATCGATTGAAAACGAGACAGCGAGGTAAAGAGGAAGTGAAGATGTATTATGGGATATGTAGTGGCTGTATCAGTGTGAATTATGGGTTGTTACAGGTCGAAATTTTCGATTTTCGATTTTTGGATTAAGGAAGATGGTCATGAGATCAAACAACAATGATTGATAATCAAGCTGATGAAATCAAATGAAAAGGTAGTTGAATGATTAATTGAAGAGCAAATACACAGCCTCTATTCAATATTATGCACAGCATCATCATCTTAGAATTGATTGGTAATCAAAAATACTCTTTTAATATTAGAAATGAAGATGGATAAGGCATTTATATATGAAGATTGACTATAAGAAGATGAATCATTATTAGTAAAGTGTTTATAAAGGCTTGGAGACGAAAATATATATGAGTTGAAGAATTTGTAATAGCTGTTTACCATTCAACAGATCAAATTGATCATAAGAAGACTTGGCAGAGAAATATTACATAAGAAAGCTGGGTATATGATTGAAGAATCACTTGTAGAAGATCTATTGATCACATTACATCATACTACATATTTGTACTAGCTAAAATGGCTCAAAATGGCGAATTTGGGAAGTGTAGGAGATCTTTGAATCATTGCATCATAGCTGTTTACCAATTTTTTAGTCATCTTTTTGGTTTTTGAAAGCTGTTTACCATTATTAATTTGTAAAATCAGATATATAAGGCTTGGTCTTTGTCCAACTTTTGTATGTTTCCTTTTGTTCTTCATCTATGATAAAGTATAGTAGTTTTTTATCATTATAAGAATCACTACACAGTCCTAGTTCACTTAAACTGCCCTTATTAAAAAATAAGAGAATTTATTTTATTGGTCTTATAAGCTAAAAGCTTCATTTGGAATAACACTTTTGTGTTGAGTTAATTTCACTGGTGCCTTATCAACAGATACTTTTCTCTTCTATCATATTCCTGGTTATTTTTCCCTGTTATCAGGAGACTTTAACAACAAAGTCCAGTCTGTTAAAGATTCTCAGAAAGAGCAGTCACAGACACCTTCTGTAAAGTTATCATATTTGCAGATTATCCTCTTTCAAAGCACTGTATAGCCCTTGTTGTGCTATTAGTACCACACCGGCACAAACAGTGTGGGGCTGTTGTTGTCCAAATGCCTCCTTGTAAAACACACTTTGAAAGAAAGGATTGAGGAGGCTTGCCACCAACACCCCAGTGCTCTGCTCGGCTTTGCTATATCTCAAAATTTCATGAGCGGAGCGATTCAGAGCTATGATAAAACGCTAATCGCCCCGCTATCTGTTGGGAAGCGCTATGACTTCTGAGAGCGGTGCAATCTTTGAGATTGCTCCGCTCCGCTATGGGCAAATTTCACGTTCAAAAGGGCCTAAAAGCACTGTCAGGAATCTTTTAAAAAGAAAGGACACACACACAAGTATTCATACAAAAAAGGTTTTACCCTGAACCATTAAAAAAGTAAAACTCAAAGCATTAGAAAATGTATGATTTGTGTATTTTCTTTTGGTTAAAAGAATGAGCTAACCTGACAATGTAATTGGTAAGATCTAGTCTCTCTCCAATCTTTGATCCTGGCCAAATTTGCATTCACGTTTCATCAGACATTCATCCAAAAACACAGGCCCAGATCCTAACATTTCAATCTTCTCTTCCAACATGTTTGTATTCAAATAAGGCAATGGGGTTATTAATGGTTTTGTATTTGGTGCAATTAAAGATGTACACAAATAATATTCTCCCAATTTATAAGCTACTCTTACAAACCTACTCACATAATCTGTAGACCTAGCTTGGATGATTGGTTCACCTAAATGTGAAGTAATAGCTGAGATAATCTGAAGAAAACAAAACACATCCAATTAAACCCATGTGACTCATTCATGGTATCTCTCTTGGAATAAGATCATCCCACTTCAAATCATAAAAAAGTAAATAAAATACATACATTGTCCATAAAACTGAGATCCACTGATTCTCTTACCAACTCATTCTTAGCACCAGTAAGAGTAGCATGAGAAATTACGACCCCACCAATCACAGGCGTAGTCTTTGAGCCACCCTCTAAACCCACCCCACCACCACCAGTTTTGGTTGTACTATTAGACAAATTAGTAGATGCAACTCCAGTATTTAACAACATCTCAGTTGAAGAACTTTCAGGTGGGATAGGTAAAAATGATCTCATGGGTTGAGAAGACATTGAAATATCTTTAGAAATCATAATATTTCCAGTCTCAATATTACAAAACACATCCCATTATTCTGTGTGTAATTCCAAAATCGGATTAGTAACACCAGCTAGATACCCAGGACTAGATCAAAAAAACAGAAAGGAAAGAAAGAGAAGAGAAAGAAGTTAATCATTTGAAAATTGTATGATATGAACCATTTTTGACTTGCAAGAAAACCTTTTTCTCAAGGTTTTGTTTTCAAACTTACTAATACACAGCTTTGAAATCTTTGTAAATTGTTAAATTAGAATCAGCAGACACTATTCTTGCATAACCTTCCAAGACACCACAACATCCACTCCCAAGCGCACTAGCTGCCAAAACGATCTGAGCAACTACCTTGGTAAATAAACTGGTTTTCTAATTCAATCTATTGAATCAGAAAAGTATGCTCCTAAATCATCAAGCCTGTCAAAGATGAAAATGATAAGTCAAATTGAACAGGTTCACTAATTTTTCAAAGAGAATAGAAAAACTCAATTGATACTTGCTACTTGAGATTGTTATGTACCCACAAAAATTGTGATAACAAGTGCTCTGGAGCACTACCGGGCGCTCTGAGGTGCCCTGTTGCTAAGATACCGCTATAGAGAGCGGATCTCAAAATCACTATATTGCCATTGGTCCGGGTTTCACCATATGTCAACCGCAAGAGTTCTGTGGAGCAGAACCCCGAGCGTATTGACAAAAAGAATACATAAACATTATATTATTAAAAACCCACTCTATCACTCTAGTTTCAAGAGTGTACAAATTATAACACTAGTAATCAAACAAGAAAGAGTAAGTAAGGGCCTTAGAGATAATGGCATCATTTAATCTAAAGACCCTAGAAACTAACCCTTATCTAAATTCCATTACAAAAACTACCAAGGGATTGCCAAACCCTTACAACTGGACCAGTTCAGAACTGGCTCAAACAAATTCCACATCTAGTCTTGGCTAACAACCACCAATCAAGAACCAGATATAAAAGAGCCTTCTCTAAATCACTAAGCAAAGAGAATCATCCAATACAACCCTTACAACATTTTTTTTCCTTTAGTTATATCTATCTTTACTAAAACACTTTTTTCCTTATCTCAAAGCAATAGTACTTTACCTTTTGAAAAGACCTCATTAAGAATTTTAGACTCTTCTCTTTGAAAAAATACTCTTGTCTTTGTTTCATACCTTTATCTTTTCTCTTTGATATTTCTCATCTCCCAGAAATGTTACAGATTGTGTAGTACTGCCTACTTGACTAACGTTTCTATACCAGATTTCTCACTTCGATAGAACCAAGTTTTATCAAACTACTGCTCAAGCACGCCCAAAGCTGGTTCACTTCACGGTATCCATTTTGGTAGAACTATCTGTTGATTACTTAACTCGGATCCGTTAGTTATCCAACATGTCTCTAGATACAATCCATTTAACACAAAGATTCAAAACCAAGTGTAAGATTTATAGATCTTATTTTCAACACAAAACACATTTTGTGAATAGTCGTTCACCTAAGTCTAATAACTATTCCAGACTTTGGTTGACACCATAGCTATAGTGAAACCCGGACCGACTACATGGAAAAAGGCTTGGCGCAGGCGGAGCGCGCGCCTCCGCTGCTGCTATCTCAGGCAGAGCGCCGGTGGCGTTGTTGCCACAACGGTTGTGTTGCATTGCAAAGCCTCTTCAAGGTACCTGTGTACACAAGCCTGTATTGAGATGATCATGGCTAATAGGGAGTCTCCCTGTTGAATTTCCTTGGCCCGATTGGCAAGGTGAACCTTCAGGGCATAGAAATCTGGAATGAACATAGAACCAGTTGGGCCATTGCCCTCCATACACTTAGTTAGTTATAAGAAAGGCTGTCTATTCAAGCGTTATTAATTAGACTTGCTCTTAATATCACAATTAAATAGGAAACAGGTGTTAGACTTAAGTTTGTTGGTTAATTCTTTGCGTGAATTCCAGTCATCAAGAGAGAAATAAATTTTGCGGAAATATCAGTGTGGCTTTGATGAATACCTGCCTTGCTTTTTCTTGCTTCTGACATGTTCAAGGTCCTTGGCAAGGAGTTTGTTAACAACCTAAAGTTCACCTCAAGACATGATCAGCAACAAGTCCAAATAAAATCTGACTACTTCAGACCACTGACCTTGCGTGCCTGCACCAATTGATTGAGTGAATCAATTTCAGCATTCCATTGAGCTGTGTCATAGCCTGGAATGAGAAGAAATAGTTTCAACTCGAGACTTTTGGCCTTCCTGGAATGGTATCCCCTTCAAGCAGCCAATTGAGCCACTTGTCGTGAAATGGAATTGGCCTTACAAAAATAGTACTGAGCTTCACCGTGATGTGATTCAGAGGAAGCCAAAGAAGAAACAAGTTACCTTGCTAAGCAAGGAATTGAGCTGGTTTGCTGTTTCCTTCAAGCACTATTCTAGAAATATTCAAGAGAAGAGGTGGTAGTAAGGTTGATGGGATCAGCATTGTCAAGCTGATCCTCTGCATCCTCATGATAGTCTGGAGCACATCCTACAACATCTTCTCCTTCTGAATCATGGTTGGTCTCACAGTCTTCTTCTGGAATCACATCTGCTTTTGTCTTCCAGATTGATAACTAATGGAGTTTCAGTCCCTTGCAATTAGTCTTTGTCTTTGTCAGCAATCACCAGCATTTTATCTGAGATAGGAAAAAACCCAAGTAGGGATTCTTCTTGTTTGCCTCACACAGTTTTTGAATGTTGTGGTGAGCAGGATCTCTATCTAAACAAAAAATTTAAAAATTATGTAAAACAACTGTGTCTTAGTTAAAATCAAAATTATTATTGAAGTTGTTATTCATCAAGGGTCTCAAAGTTGATTTAATATCATCATTTTACTATCATCTTAATCATAAATTAATGAAATCATTTGATAAGAACAATCACAAGAAGAGGAAATATTGAAAGGTTTATAAAAATAGTATAAGAGTGAAAATGAATTAAAAAGAATTAGTAAGGAAATAATTGATGGAGAAGAACATTTAGTTTGAGTCTTTAAGAATGAGAACTGTTATGAAAGGAATACAATTAGAAGGATTAAATTAGAGAAGTTGAAGAAAAATTCAAAAATATAGGTATAATATAGTTGGAAAATGGTTTTTAGGTTAATATTAATGGTTTTGGAGGTTTAAGAAGGTCAAAATATGCAAGAGAAGCATAACATTAGTCAGCACCAACTTTGATCTTGGACATTGATGAAAGAGGAGTGATATTATCCAAGAAAGAGGGAAATTTGAGGATGGTAAACAAGGTACTATGGTATTAATTCCTGTGTAGTGATGTCATTGAAGGATTCATGGTGGCAAGAGTTTTTTTCAGATCGATTTTATAGTTATTCTGTTGATTGGATTGATGTAGGATGATCTTTTGATAGAAGAGAAATCATTATTAAACGTGAAAATGGTCAAAAATCATCAAAATTGGAGGTTTTTAGTTAATTACATATGTCAAACCTTGTCAGAACAGGATGGGTAATAGCTCAATCAACGGGTAATTATTCATTTCTTAATGTAAAACCTTTAAATCATTGGTAGCAGAGGAGTGGTGAAAAAGTTATAAGGAAACAAAGAAAATATTGTGAATTTTGAATTTGGCGCTCACACTCACACGTAAAGTAACATTGAGAGCTCAAAATCTCAGATTGCACATGATCTAGCTGATAAGAATATTGACTGGGAAATGGACAGTTTTTACAAGGAAGATTCAAGATTGCTGAAAGCTGAAGAGGCTTGCGCGGAAGCAGAAATAAACAAGACTTGCCAGGAGGTTATGGAATCAAGTCAACAGAAGAACATGTCTCACTACGCCAAATCAATAATATAGCATGGAGTTTAGAAAAGTCAAGATGTAGAAAATTCTCAGCAATGCATGAGAGGTAGGAAAAATTTGAAAAAATACTGGTTGTATCAGTCTGTGATTTCCCATCATTTTGCATATTTTTCATATTTTCACCTTGAGTTTTGAAGATGTTTAGAAAAATGATTTTGGGGTGTATTTGGTCAGAAACTCAAATTTTGTCCAAAACTACCCATGCTTGGGCAGAAACTCTTCAACAATCACAAATACAACAATTTTCTTTTGATCAATTTGGCACTTGCACATTATGAAAGCCAAATACTGGATCTACAGTTTCCATTTGGATGCTAAAACCCTTGCGGAACAGATTTATAAGCTTTTCTAGATTTGCTGTTGGGGACGGTAATTGCTGTACCTTCTTCATTTTTGGACACACACCACTCATCCTAATGTGTATCCTGGTAAATTAGTCATGTAGCTTTCAGAATGGGCAGACATTCCATGTCAACCTAGAGAGTAAAACCACTTACTCCTTGGGAAGACAAAACCATAATAAAAATAAAATTATATTCTCAAAACCCGTAACCAAGTTTTGAGAAACCCTTACAACTCACACTCATGTCTCAAGAGTGAACAGTTATATTAAAGTAACGAAATTGACTGTAGTAAAACCCTTACCAACCAGGCAAGCTAATATTGAAACATTGCCCTGACCAGGAGTCAGCCTCAGCCTAAACCACGAACCACTATTCTAACCCTGACCAGGCTGCAGACCCTGTTCTTCCACGACAAATCGAAATACGAGATACTCAAGCTCATTTCAAATAAAATAAATAGTAAGCTCATCCGTCTAAATAAGAAAGGATCATCTTATATTACAACCAACTCATATTTTTACTTTGTAACCTTTTTACACTGCGAAGATAATGTATTTCTCCGAGGTGAAAAATAATTAAATTTAATGCACAAAATGATTAATAATGCAGAATTAATGCAGAATAATGCAGACTTGATGCAGACTTAATGCACTTTTAATCATTTTGTACATTAAATGTAATAATTTTTCACCTCGGACAAATAAATTATCTTTGCAGTGTTAAAGCTTCATACACGAATACTTCTTGAATAAACACCAGCCGAATACTTCTCGATTAGACCTCACATATTTC